GTTTTATAGGCAGAGATGGCTAGTGTACTCCAAATTTGATGGACCAAATATTCCAAATTATATTGATGGACTTAAATGAGGGACCAGAACCCAAGAGATAAAACTTGAAATACTGTTTTGTGTTCAGAGACAATAATGTTTCAGAGTATAAGATAGTGAGACCTTGCGTAAAAAGATTACAACTCTATTATCTAAGGCTAAACTTTTGGTAAATCTCTTATATATGCGTTTTTAGGGTGAGTATATGTTTATAGTCATTGAAAAAGTTTTTGATCATAAGTTTGATAGCCAGTAGTGCAATATCCTTATTCCAGTCTTGAGCTAAAGCAACAGAAATATTTATCAAGGTAAATCATTAAAGTAAGTTCCAGTCCTGTCCTGTCTAAACTCTTTAGTTCAGAAATTGAGACTTGAAGTATTAAAATACTTCTCAGTTTGGGCACCATGTTTTAAAAGGGATCTTGACAAGTGTATAGTGTGCAAAAGGCAGTGGTTGCCTCCTCATACATTTTGGTTCCAGTGACTAAGCTGCTTACTGTCACCAGTCGGAGGTTCTGTTTGCTCCCAGAGCCTGCTTAGGGTCCCCAGTTTATCTCCAGCCTGGGGTAGATGCCTCGGTAGCGACAACTCTGTACCTTTTAGCGATCATTCCTGCATTGGCTTCACCACCCTAGTCCCCCCGCTGCTGGGGGCTTCCTATATTCCCCCTGGTCTGTGACTAAAGTGATCATTTCTTATATCCTTCCTGCATCCTACCCCAGCTTTTGCCCTGTCTGACAAGGTGGATCTAATATCAGACCCAGCCTGGTGTTGGGCTCCCACTTCCATCTGCTACCTCTCCCCCACATCCACTCCAAGTCCCATGTCTGCTGCCTCATTAATCAGTCCTGATGTGTGTTGCTACTATCTTTAAAAAAAAAAAAAAGGGGGTGGGGGGAGAGGGCCTAGAAGTAATGAAATATGTTATCAAAACTTGTTAGGTAGGTTTTGCCTGGAGAAGACTTCCAGCCTCTCTGGAAGAGCGCGACATTGACTGTAGCTTGGGGACTGTGAGAGCGGCAGGCTTCCGCCCACTCCAGCAGAGGCGTGAGTGTGTTCATTTGCATTTTTGCGCTCATTGATGGAGTGTTGGAATGGGAAAACTCCCTAAACATGTGAAGTGCTGGCACAGCATTGGAAGGGTTGAGAGAGGAAGGATTACCTGCCCAGGAGGTCCTAGAGAAGCCCTGTACTGAGAGGGAAAGCACTGAGTTAGTGGCCTTCAAAGTTCCTGGGATTTTATGGATATGAAGACTCACTGCAACTATGTTTTCTGTAGATACAGGAATCTGTCATGGGCTCAGAAAATCTATTTGATTAGGAGGTTATGTGATGAAGCTTGAGACTTTCTGTCGTACCTTGCACTTGACTGAGTTATACATGTGGCATGTGCCATTACTGCTCTTCATGCATTGACCATAGGCCTACTGCTTACAAATAAAACTCATGAAAATAAAATTTCAGCCCTCATGGGGTTTACATTCTAGTGGTTTAAATAAATAAACTTTGCTTTATTGGTAGGCAGTGGAGCGGAGAGCAAGAGAAAGTGTTCCACTTGAATAAATTCTGTATTCTCTCTCCGGTAGCCTAACTTTTCACTGTTCCTGACTATGTTATATGTTAGAATCTGTCTCCCCTTCCCTTGTCTTCCTACCTTGGAACCAGTCTCTTTTGTACTTCTAACAGTAGTGATCGAATAACGGTTCCCAAAGACGCCACATCTTAATCACTCTGAAACCTATGACCATGTTACTTTACATAACAAAAAGCAGTCTGTAGACATGACTAAGCCTCTAGGAACTGGAAAGGCAGTTTGTCTCCTGAAACCTTTGGAAAGCTGTGCAGCCCTGCCCTGACCCTGACCCTGACCCTGACTGCACTGATGCTGGGTCTGGCTTAGGAACTGCAGATCTCTAAGATAATACATTTGTACTACTAAAAATTTAGCTGCTAAATTTGTGGTAATTTCTTACTGCAGCAATTCAAAACTTTGATATCCACACACACAAAGATGTATATATATTTGTACGCATATATACTTGTATATATCCTTTTCTATATACTTAAATACTAATATAATGGGTTGAGTTCAAAACTACTTGGTGAATTGATAATTTTTTTCCTCTTGTTTTTGATAAATGTAAGATTACTAAATTATGATTTAATTTATTCTTTTACTTAAATGTATGTGTTTCAGGTATAAAATACCTGCTGATAAGCTAGTAAAAGAGACAAATGTATTGTTTTGGTCACCAAAAAAAAAAAAAAGAAAATTAAAGAGTTACTCTCCATTTCTTTAGGACCTGTTATGGAATTTGATTATACAATATGTGAAGAATGTGGTAAAGAATTTATGGATTCTTACCTTATGAACCACTTTGATTGGCCGACTTGTGATAACTGCAGGTACTTATTTCTCACTTGTTAAAGCATGTAGGTGTAGGACAAAACAATAGGTAGATCTTTTAAGTAATTTTTTTTTTATTATTTTGGAAGTTTGCTAAGATTTCTATGGCTTCCAGTTTGCCAGAAACATTTAGTAAGCCAATGCTGATCAGTTATGCCACATTTTAGGAAGGACACCTCTGGTTCTGCCATAGAAATCTCTTCTTCCTTTCTGCTGGCTTGAGGAATTTTACCATTTCTCTGCAGGACGTTCCTGACCTTCCTCTGTCCAGTACTTAAGGACACCCATTGTCCGAATGTATGTTGACATCTTGGTTAAAGAGTAGGGCTTGCAATAAGAGGAGAGGAATAAAGCCTTGCCACTCTCGTGTCAGAACACTGCTTTCATTTTTCACTCTTCCAGATAGGCAGGGAAGAGGAAAAAATGAGGAAAAATCACATTCTTCAGTCATTCTACTTCTTTTTCTAGCCTTTCTCCTCTTTAGTATCACCCCATGATAATCCTCACCCACATGGTGCTCCTCTCCCTACTGTCTACCTCAGCTAATAACTGTTGCTGTTTTTTACACCTTGAGGTCTTTCTGGGATTAATATTAAATGCTCTTATTTGTTCTCTGTTCCCATGTACCACTGAGCCTCATAAAGTATTTTTCTGTGGCTAATTTGACCACCAGAGCTGCAGGAAAAATTATTTAATAAGCTCCTTTTGCCTGCATGCCCGTAGAGTCACTGGGCTATTTGAAAGTTCATTTACAATAACTATATAATTCATTTAATCTGTTTTCAGAGATGCTGATGATAAACACAAGCTTATAACCAAAACAGAAGCAAAACAAGAGTACCTTCTGAAAGACTGTGACTTAGAAAAAAGAGAACCAGCTCTGAGATTTATTGTGAAGAAGAATCCTCGTCACTCACAGTGGGGCGATATGAAACTCTACCTAAAATTACAGGTGCCTAATAAGTTATATGTACTCATCTTAAACCCTAGGTGAGGTGGAGTTTTAACAATGAATTAGTTATAGAAAGTTGCAGTTAAGTTTGCAAACAGCGAGTTGAAAGGATTCTTTTCCTTTGTTTTATATGAGTTATGTATATAAAATGACACTTATAGCATGCTTTCTTATTTTGCTTTTTGGTATGTCACTTTGGAACAAACATATGAGCTTGGATGATACTAGTACAATTTGGAAACTAAAAAACGTGGAATAAGGGTCAGGCCCAGTTCCCCTGCCCCCCCTTTCACCCCTGAACATCTTAAAAAAAAAACAAACGAAAGAATAATTTTAGGAATTTCCTGAGTGTCTAAAATCTAGCTTCACTTGGAAACTAGTCACCTGGCACCCTAGCAAGTGTCCATGTAACTACTACATCTCAGAGCGGAACTTCTTGAGTTCTCTGGCTGTGAATGGGCTTTATATACCAAGATATTTATCAATGTAGTACTTGGCACTTCTGGGGCCAGAAGCAGCACCTATATTTACCCCCACAAGTGGTACAAATATTGTTTTCTTTGTGTCATTATATAAAAAATATTAGGTAGGTTGCTTTAGAGCATAGTTTGCTTTGGAATATACTGTAAAATCCCATATACTAAAATACAATTAAGAAGCCACGTTGTAAAACAACTTGTATGTAGGTTTTGATCACCTTTCAGACACTCACCATATTTTATGTACCAATGAAAATGCAAAGTGGTGGAAGGTAAACTGACCCAATACTTACTGGTACTTTCATGCTCACTGAAATAGTGCTAGGTTTATTATAGTTATTATATGGTGCTTGGGTGACATAAATGGGAAAATATCAACACAATGGATTTATTAATATATTCCTAAACTTCTTTTAGAGTCCACTTTTCCTGAATCTCTTTTTGACTCAGAGTGGTTAAAGTGCTGTTAAGTGCACTAGTGAAATGCACTGTTTTCAGGGATGTTAAATTGAGGAAGATATGATAAAAATTATGGGAAACGGCCCTCCGTTGGCGCAGTGGGTTAAAGCACAGCACTGAGAAGCTAAAGCCACTTCCGCATGAGTTCGATCCCCGCCTGCCCCGGAGGTGACCACATGGCGTGGCAGACCTCTCCTGACCCGCCCGCTGCTCCCCTCAGCAGTGTACTTCCTCGATCTGCCTGTTCTGCTCCCCACTCTGTCTCTGGTGAATCCTCTCACCCTCCGCATCTCTGGCCTGTACCCCAGTTCTGTACGAATAAATAAATAAATCTTAAAAAAAAATTATGGGAAACACCTGCATATCATTTTTTTATGTTAAGAAGAAATGGCTGTCTAGATTGATATTTTGGTTCCCTTATATGGTTAAGAAATTTGCTAAGCATAATTCTTAGTGTGTACATTGGTCTTGTTGCTTTTATAAATGGTAAAGATAAAACTTAAGTTTTAAAACTAAAAGAGATTTAATTCATTCAGCTACCAGGGCTCTCCCTGGTGCCACAAGGGGTTAAGTCTCAGCACTATGAAGCTTTCTGCAGCCACTAAAGCAGGAGTTCCATGCCCAGTCAGGGAGCTGACCCACATGGCTCAGCAGACCTCTCCTGCCCTACCCACTTCTCCCTCAGCAGTGTATTTCAGATGATCTGTCTGTTCGCCCAACTCTGTTTCTGGTGAATTTTTTTCTTACTTTCCCTCCCCCTCTGCCCCCAATCCTCTGGTCTATACCCCAGCTCTTGTATACATAAATACATAAAGTGAATCTTTTTTTTATAAGATTTATTTATTTATGCATACAGACCTGGGATACAGGCCAGAGGTGCAGGGGAGGTGAGAGGCTTCACCAGAGACAGAGTGGGGAGCAGAACAGGCCGACTGACTAAGTACACTGCTGAGGGGAGCAGCAGGCAGGTCAGGGGAGAGCTGCTGAGCCATTGAACTTGCACTGAAGCGGCTGCGGCTTGCTCGCAGTGCTGTGCTTTAACCCGTTGTGCCACCAGGGAGGGCCCTATAAAGTAAATCTTTAAAAAAAATAAGTAAAAAATAATATTCTAAGGATCAGAAGTAAGTTAAGTGGCTGGAAACTATTGTTCATTAAGGAGGAGATGACTAGTATGATAAATTTTCTGTAGAGAAATTTTTCGATATGACCCTATATTTTGAAGCTAATATGTGGATAATTAGTTAGCGAACTTGTTTTCTTCTGAGTCTTTCGAAACTCATCAATCCCATCGACCATATGTGCTTCTGTTGATTCATGTGAAAACATTACAGAGAACTTTTTCTATTTAGCATATAATTACAGTTATATTTACTAGGGTTTCACAGGATCAGAATGAGGTGGTATTAGAATTGTTCCTAATCAATATACAATTTGAAAATATCAAGTAATACTGCACTCAAGTTATATCATTTTTCAGTGCTTATGGATTTAATAGCTACCTTTATTTTGCAAGTGTGAGTCACAGCTAATTCAAATATGGATTCTTTGTTGTAGATTGTGAAGCGGTCTCTTGAAGTTTGGGGTAGTCAAGAAGCATTAGAAGAAGCGAAGGAAGTTCGACAGGAAAACCGAGAAAAAATGAAACAGAAGAAATTTGATAAAAAAGTTAAAGGTAAGTGGCAACATTGATGTCATGCAGGACTGTGTTTTATTGCTTTCAGGAAGGCTTTAGGAAAGTTCTTAGTTTTACGATATTCGCTAATGGATGTGAATTTTCATTAGCTAAAGGAAAAAGATTAAATTTGTCATCAGTAGTTTGGTATTTGAGGATCTTAGTTCAAGTATCACAGTACTGTCATCCTAAAACACAGGTAAACTTATTTTGAAACTGAGTTATGTTTTACACAGGAACCGTGGTAGGTCTGAGGATGCTTCCCTGGTCGAGGGTTGGCATCAATTCATCTTTTTTTTCTATTTTAAATTACAGTAACATAAGTATAGGTTTCAAGTAGACATCATTATAAGTTAACATCTATATTTACATTAAATTCACTGTGAACATTCTAATTCTGTCCTTGACCATTATCTTTGACACACTTTTTACCCAGTTTACCCTTCACTTTTTCCCTGCCCTTCTGGTAACCACTAATTTGGTCTTTTAGTCTAAAAGTTCATTTTTGTTTTATTTCTGTTGATTATGCACAACATAAGAGTGAAATCTTAATTATGACCAACAGGGTTATAAAAAATGTTAAAAAAACAGATACCATCAGCAAATCTCTGTAATGGTTTAAAATTTAAAGTCATGCCTAAGTCTCAGTCACCTGATGCAGCAGCCAGAAGGAACCTTCTAACGTGAGCCGGTTCCATCACTGTTGTATGTGACCAAAAGACCTGGAAAGGGGGTGTGGCTTATTACACAAATAGTTACTGGCCAGGCTGGAACTGGAACCAGGCTTTCAGGACTGAGAGGCTGCATTTGATACGTTTATGCTTCTGTTTGTGTATCTCTGGCCGTGACTATCCAGCCCATTGGCCCCCTGTGTCTGCAGTCTCTGGTCCATGCATCCGTGTATCTCCATGTACACCTGCGTGCCCAAGTCTGCCCACCTAGCAGTGTGTGTCAGCTATATTCCTGGCACTGTGCTAACATACATGTTAGTTTGTCAGAAGCTTTTTGCTGTATCCAGAATACCTGGAAAGAATCTCAGGGGAATAAATATTCTCCATCCAGTAATGGGAGAGTCCCTGCGCGGTGTGAAGTTAGGTGTATCCTGTGTGTCTAACACCAATACCAAATATACTACCGAACTGATCCATTTAAAACAACTGTCCTAGCCATAGTAAATAATGTTTCTGAAGTTTCTAGGATTTAGAAGATGTTTTGGAGGATGAATGAGATAGTTCTGATGTTTAAAAACCAAGAGAAATTGAACAGAAGCCCATCTTATTTCTTCTTGTGAGGTGATCCCTTTACATATAGCAGTTGCACGAGCAGTGCAGAAAACCCAGAAAACTACCAAGAACTTCTATCTAGAGATAGTTGGTAATAGTTTTACAGTTCTTTTTCATGTGTGACCCTTATTTATTAAATAAAAATGGCAGCAGTATTGGACATTTATGAATTTTAACAAGACAACCCCACGATCAGTATCTTTATATGAATTAGAATTACTTAAGTTCCTCTAAATGAGGAAAAATATCCGTTACGGCTTTGGAGAGAGGTTGCCACCTCATTGATGAATCTGCCAAATTAGCCAGTGCTGAGCCATCGACTGCAAGACTACTGAATTTGCTTGTTTTCTTTAATCTTTTACATTTTCTGCCCCGTCTGTCCTTCCTTCCACCACAGACAGACTAGAAGCACAGACAGACAGACAGCAGAAGACAGCTTACAGGCGGGGGAGGTTAGGGGCGTATTCATGAACTGACGCGACAGTAGCCCAGACTTGGCTGCCTCCA